CAGTGTTGTGTATCATTGATTGAAAATTCCTTCGATATTATAGTCACAAATGAAAATTTAAAAAGCCTTGTAATAACAGGTTCAAGCCACGCACACAACGATAACTTGCTAGCTGGACCAACTCTTATTACATCAACATAATAATCCTGCAGACTCCGAAGTAACGTCAACTTCTGATTTTTCAGGATTCGCAAGGCGGAGTTTCCGGCATACTACGAGCTCATAATGCGAAAATAATAAACTGTACACGTGCGTTAACATCGAAGCCTGGAAATTGGTCTAACATTTTTTTGTCTTGGCCTCTTTCCGTTTATATTTATTAACCAGTTCCCTTTTCAATATTCTGACGCTAGAACTGCTTATCTTTCTTTTTTGTTGCACTTACTAAAATGCCTACTCTAAAATATAAGAAGAATTTTTGTATGTTTTATCATACAGTGAATCATTTCCTGTATGTGCTTAGCTGTCAAAAAATTTGTAAGCAGTTATATTATTCAATTAACACTAACCGTATCGGGAACCGGTCAAATAACCGGATTTAAAATTTTGCATTCTCTTTCGTTCATTAAATTTTATATCAATTCCTATATTATCCGTTTAGTCAGTTTTTCAATTTTTGTCTTTCCTTTTTAAAACGTTTACTAACTAATTAAGTTTATTATCTTGTTTGCCGTTATTTTGTAGCCAGTTATTTGATTAGTTGCAATAGAAGAAGTATAGGTACAGTTAGTGTTAAATAAATTGAAAATTTTTCTGATACATATATTGATCCACGAAAGTATGTTTCGAAATGTTTCGAAATACTAAAACCTCCGTTACATATATGAATATATACCTGTTATGTGAACGTTCTATTATATGAACTGCATATAACCTACTACAGTACATAAATATTATAATAAAAGTGTTTATATACATATAAAAATGCAATATTGGCAATTAAAGAAAGAGTGACATAATTGAAGAACTTGAACGTGGAGAATGTGTAATAAATCATAAGCAGAAAGGTGTGGTGTTGCAAAAACAACCCTCATCGATATAAACAGCCAGAAACCTACTATTATAAACTACTATTGTAATCCAATACAAATTGTCTAATCTATACATGATTATATTTACAAAATGTTGTACATATGGAACGCAAAATATTAATGCATACATTGCATTTTAATAAATGTCTACATACCTTTCTGACACATGCACGTATTCTTAATTATCATTAATATTTACTAAAATTCCTCAACTCAACTGTGTCATAATTAATTATAATATATTATATTTCGATTCTAAATCAAATTTTAGATTCGAAATTTTCATCGGAATAATTGAGTGTCATATTTCAGTTTCACAAAAATTCATTTCGCAAAAAATAATTATGCACTTCCTTATGAACTTGATCAGTGGTTTTAAGTGAAGACCGATTAAAGGATGTTCTTTCCGTCTCGTAACAGAATACTAGTACGGTTCTAGTATTACGCAGCTTCTGGTAGTTCGCACCACAAAATGTATCCCTAAAAAAAACTTGAAAACTGTGTAACGCGAAACTAACGGAGTCTTGTTTTATCGATAGATCACGGATTCATGATTCATCATCACTATGGATTCAACTATGTTGTAAATGTCTTAAAGAGTAAGATAATCTTGATTTGATTGTTTTGAGGCACGTTTGCAGTAGGAAAACAACATTAAATCTATAATCATGCTGAGAAAGATATTTCCCGGGCTCTTGAATCAATTAAAATTATTTTTAAAAATCTTGCGTTTTTTCATAATTTTCGATATTGAAAAAATACACGAAAAATAAGTTTACCCACTGATCTAATTTCTTCTCTTTTCAACCTCATTTTCATACTGCTTTCTCAGAAAAATTTCAAATACAATGTATAAGAAATCAAATATGCCTATATAAACAGATTTATCACAATTGGTAGAAAATATTTTTTGTCTGTAACAGCCAAGGAATTGTATTAAAGACTACTTGAATCTACTATAAAGAAACCTACTAGAAAACAAAACTAAAAACTTAAACTTAAAACTAATAGAAAAAATTATAAACACAAGTGACAACGGCTGTATAAGAAACAACAGGACAGTTTGAAAGCTTTAAAGTCTTTATTGATTTAAATCGGTCGATTAATATGTATATCAGAAAATTATGTAAATTATTTTAATATTTTTTCAATAAAAGTTTCACATAAAAGAAATAAAATAAAATGCAGCAAAATTAGAAACAATAATTCACATATAGTATTTATTTATGCTTATACATGGTCTTTCATAATTGCTGATTTAATTAGGTAAGATATAATTCTGTGTGAAAAAATTAATCGAAAATCTACGATCATATTTTTTACACTTGAGTAATTTTTGACCGAAAATGAATATTACAATCGACAGAAGAACAATGTATATATGACAATAACTAATATAATTTCTTCGAACACATTTTTAAATTTTATTTTCCTCAAAAGGAGGTCTGAAATGAAAATTTTTTCTGTATTTTTATTTTCTTTTGTATGTAAAATCATCCTTTTTTGTATTGTATTGTAAAATTTCGCCACTTTCTAGTCGTTTTGTTATACGCTAAAATGACAGGCCTTTCTTCTTAACATTCTTATAGCAGCACATTATATCATTAGAGCATTCATGGCTTATCTTTAAGACTTTCCCATAATAATACAAAATAAAGCAAAGCCTTATAACAGTTGTGTGAACCTTTCAGTATGTTTACAATAACCTTTGAATTATAGACTACCCTTTTGTTACATAAAAGTCCACTAACTTTCTAGTTATTTTATTGTATCGTTCAAATGACAGGTCTTTCCTTATATTCTTATAATAGCATATTCTATCAGTAAATATTCATCTTTTGCCTATACGATTTTTTAATATTTCACTGAGAACAGAATAATGCCTACTAATATTAACATGAACCACTCAATATATTTGTAAAAACTTTCAAATTACATATTACCTTCTGTCGCATAAAATCGCCACTACCACATTCCTGTTATCTCGACCGCTGAAATGACAGTTCATTCCTTTTGATATTTTTGTAACATAATTAAGTACTGTAAAAATCTAGTATAGACAAATTTATTCTGTAGGAATGAAGAAAACAATAAGTTAAAGGAGTGCATTACCCTTCGTTGTCGAGCGTATACAGTTACTCACGAAAATATTTGCTTTCCTACTTACAAATAATATTTATGTTTGTTAAATTTTATTTGAAGTCTTCACCATGAGTCTGACACGATATTGTAGGGCAGGGGGTCTATATCCTAAACTTCAATAACAAACAACTCACCCACCGACTTTTACCGTACCAGTTCTTCAAGGTGACTGTTATTTTCGGTGCCTAGTATTTAGGTATGCAACTCGCAGCAACATTGATCGATAACTCGTATACACAACCAACACCGGGATTCCGTGTGCAATCAGTCGGCCAAGGTTGGCCCGCGGTCAGCTGTTCGTAGAGCCTCCGGGGGCGCGAGACGAAAACCGGTGGTCGCCGACGAAAAAAAGACGAAGAAACGCCACGGAAAGGGCGAAAAAAGGGAAAAAGAAAGGGGACCCACTGGTAGTCGAGGTTGCACCTGCCACGTCGTGGCGCGGCCGTACAAGGCCCGCAATCCCGAAGAAACTCAAGGCAGAGCGATTCCACGTCGCAGAGGAGCGACGAACAACGCTCGAGTCTCGCCTTAAGCGGCGTCTCTCCCCGAAATCACGATCAATCGATCTCGAGATTCCCTTGGAAATCGCGGTAAAGCCCCTGGAGCCGATGTCAGTCCGACATTGAATTTCATACAACTAGCTGTTACGAGTACGGACGGAATCAAGTCGGATACGTAGGCACTCGCGAATCCGAATCGATTTCAGTTATCCGAGTTTCGTTTCACGGCTTTCGAATACCTCTCTCCCGAGAAATAATGTTTCATTCATTCTACTTGGAAGTAATGCAATTTACGCTTCTCCGGAAGATTAGGGTCGCTAGAAAGAGGGTGACGAAGGAATTGTCGATTTTCGAGCCGCTGGCATTTTTGTGAAAAAATGTACTGATCATTTTGGAAGCCGAAGCATCTACTTTTGTAGCTGTGCCTAAAAATAGTTCCTTAGAGGATTGTTTGTTATAAGACGAAGTGAAGAACTGAGTTCGATTGCAAATGGAAGTGGTTCAATGGAGATTAAAAAGCTTTTTTCTGTATTCATTTCAGTATAATCTTGTTAAGCAAAGTTTGCTTTTCAATAACTTTTGGAATGCTAATGTGTGATTTTGTGTCGTTATTTTATCACATTTTGAACGGGTTCGTTCCTCCGATTAATCAGTTTCTTGATTCGTTTCGCGGCAGAGAATAATATTCGAAAACAGTTTTTTTTAAGAGACTTCATTTAAAGAAGATAAGAAATAAAGTTGGTTAACACATTATTCACCGACAATTTTACGCAGAAACTATCCCATGTCGAAACAAAAAGTGAAACAATGTAAATAAACTTCAATAAACTTTATTTATACTGAATTTAAATGAAATTTTGGACACATCTTTTATATTACTTATAATATTTTGTTTTTGCCGTATTCTACATTGCCCTGCGTTTCAAGAATTGAAATGGCTAATGCGAGTACAAATACAAGTTAATTGGTGACCGGTCAACAACGTTTGGCCATGAAAACGCGAGTTAACTCATGACTGGTTAACAATGTGTTAATAATCAATACCAGTTAATGCAAATCGGGTTCGTCGTTTGTAAATATGGGTCTAGATCTAGATGTCTACATTTTTACAATCTTACGTGCAAATTATTTTGGTATTAGAGTTCATATTGATCACCAAAAAATTCTTAACTTCATTTTCAAATATTTGAAGACACAGGTTGAAAAAATAAAAAAATTTAAATCCCATAGGTTCAGTAATTTTAACCGCAGTGAAATTTAAGGCGAAGGTTGTGTAACAATGCAACACCTCATTGGGTATGTATGTGTAATACAACACATAACTCACCATCGTGCTGTTGACAGGCAGTGTATCTTCTTTACACCACAAATATGTAACTCCTGCTTCTGTAAAAGAAAACGAAATAAAATTAATACAGTCTTGAATGAACTTTGGGACAATAAATGGATTCATTTGATCAATTTTTCACTGACAGTGCTTGAACGCAACGTGACGAAATAGCTTCATAATATAGCTGTTTTAAAAACAGGGATTATTATATAAACTTATAATCTTATATATGAAATATACATCTTTTAAAATTTAACACCGAAGTTTCATTGACAGTATTCTTCTCTTTTCAATATTAAAAAATATCATTTTATAATCTACTAAAAGTTATTACATAGTTGCTAGATAAATAGAATTGACTACAATTTTTTTTTCTTTTTTACTCTTATTATGATTGGCAAAGAATGAGTAAATGAAGTAAGATAATATACCTATAGACATTTTTTCAACTTTTTCATGACCATTATATGATAATACTTCATTTATAATACTGATGTAATGTTAGTAAAAAACCTACTCCTTTCGTCAACTATAAAGATCATTTGTATAAATAGATTGAATTGTGCCAATTAATTTAAATTTAATAATCTAATTAAAGTACTTAATTATGTAGTATCAAGTTCATCTTACCAATTTGAATGACTTTGATATATGTCAAGTATTGAAGTATGGTATTCGGAAAATTAATGCTGCACGAGACGTTGCACTTTTTTAATATATAGAACTACCATACCAGTCAAAATGGCTGGTTTCAATTTGTTCGTTTCGCAATTATTGACAGCTTAAAAGTATTGAACATTCCAAATGAGTTCGAAAATAAACAGTTTCACTTGAATACTCTAACGAATATCCGAAGAAACTGAAAATAATCAATTGTTACAACTTTAATAGAGCTTACATATTAATTATATTAAATGCTCCGTAATTCTAGTACTAAATGCAGGGTATGCCTTGTTCAAGAAAAATGATAAAATTAAAATATTTTGAGACGTATTCATTTTTAAAATAACTTACCCCACTACTTTCGTCTGAAGGGCATTCAGGAGAATCAATTTGCTTAACGAAGAATATGCATTTTCATTAAAAAAAATATGCATTGACATTTTAGGTTCATCAGACTTAATGAAAACGAGAAGTCGCGAAGAGATAGACCTTCCAATGCTCTTCAATTTATTTTTATCGCAATCTTAACTCGACATTTTACATAAAGTTCTGCAGTCCATAAGAAGTAATGGACGAAAAAGGAATTAGATAGAAGCTCCTTGGTTCCGCAAATATTTTTATTAACCACACGGTTATTAACCCTCGATTCAGCTAGAGGTGCATTTGAAATAATGTTGTGGAGTGAGTGAGGAATGAATATTGGTAAGGTAACGGCACCTAATATGGAACACCTGATTGCCAAACACGAGAGACATGCATTTTTTTTAATGAAACCTGCATCAAAGCATGAAGAAATTAATAAACATTCATACACTGATCAATAACAGTGGAGAAATTTAAATATCTTCAAACCACGGTAAAAAATAGAAATAAAGTCAAAAATAGCGGTCAGAAGAAATGGCTCCTAATATGGAACATCTAGGTAATTTGTAAACAAAACTCATTCCAATCACGAGAAATGAATATTTATGGAATTAAAAAGGATAAATAAACGATTTGTTCGTCTTATTGAACTTATATTATGTTAATCTACTTCTTTTCTTTTTATCTTATACATTGTATATATGAATAACACATCGGAATCGCTACATTCTTCGTAAACGCAGTGTATTGGACATAATATGTATTGGATTTCTGTAATTTGTTTTCATGTTTCCAATGTGAACGAAAAATACAATTGTCTTTCTTCACAGAAAAAGAGCAAGTTTAATAAAGCAGCCGCTTTGTCACGTTGTCATTTGCTCTGTCATTCTCGTCATCGTTGACGACACACCATTTCCAGACGATCCAGCACATTCAAGCTCGTTTATAGCGGTTCCACCGCTTACCGAGATCCGAGATCGCGGATCAGAGATCGTGTCCGCTTTGCAAAGCCGCCGACTCGTTCTCAGATTGTCTTTCTATCTCACCATTTTCTTTGCACGTTGACGCGCATGCACAAAAATTTGCCGCATTTATCGTCTTTTCTCAACGGCCAGTATGAAATTAGCGACTTTTCGAGAACACACTTAGAAGTTCCGCTACAAGGAGTAGAACTATTTACAGACAACTCTTTACTGGTAATGTATGTTCTGGAAATTACGTTGACACGTTAGGATGCTACTTTTTCGTAATTATTCAATGAAAATGTTTTGCCATACAGCAAAGATATTATTCTCATACAATGTTGAGCGTATTATAATTAAATTTATAACTCAATTACGAGTTTGCAATAACTGATGTGACATATACAATAGATTAATTCTTTATTTCTTCTTTTTTAATGAAATGCAGAATCCTCTCACATTTTAATTGATTTTAAACTAGCTAGCCTATCTCTCTCTGTTGTCGGACTATCACAAACATCTTATATGCAATGGTGATATGGATACTGAGCAATTAATATTTAGCTGCAGTATTCTACTAATTCCAACTAATCTTTTAAATAAAATACCGAAAAAGGGAGTCTAACAAGAGTTATTGAATTCCTAAATATAATGTCACATCCTGACACATTAAGTAACAATGTCTATAGCATTAATTTTATTTTCTTTATGCAACGTGTATCATGACGCCTCTTCATCATCTAAAAGTACCATCCTATCAATCGATATAATTAAATTGAATTTACTTGTTTATCGTTTTCTATTTATTTATTCGTATAATTTTATAAAAGATTAACACAAACAAAACATTTTTTAACCTGATCCAGATAGTAAAGAACAATCTACGAACAATAAAGAAAAGACAATACTTTCTTAAATTTAAAATCTAAACTTTTGTCGTTTCTCGATGCAAAACAAAAGAAATTCAATTGGAATAGTTAAGTTTTGAACGAACGTTTGCAAAGGTCCGTGGCACCGTAACGGCTAGGAACGTCGGTGAATCGCTACCGCAGTAAATTATCTAAGCATCTTCGGTGTAACGTGATCTGGCGATGCCCGCGGTGGAGGGGGTGGGAGATGAAGTCAGATGCGCAAGAATATTAAAGCAAGCCGCGGGATTTTTAACGCGATAAGGCATTCAATACCCGCCACCGTGTTCGCGACTCTTGAAATTCATGGCATAGCCGTCTCATCTGGTCAGAAACTATTCGCCATACCTCATCGAGCATCGCCATGAAAAATCGTCACTTTCTCGTGGCGCACGGCCATTTTTCCCCCACTGTCACATACTTGTTTTACCGACGATTATCACTGGATAGCTTAACCCTTTGCTCGTTTCGCATGAACCGTTACCGACCAGTAACTGCCTAGTTACTGTCTAGACGACGAATTATGTTCGAACGTATTGGGGTGGTAAATCACCGTTTCTTTCCACCGGCCCGAGCAATTTACTATTGGAGCTCGCCCGGTGGAACGTACCATTTTCCGTGCCAGCGAGAAAAATCAAATTTTGACGCAAGAGTATCGGGCGCTGGAACGATGAGGATTTATGCGAACAGCTGACTAACTGTAAGATCGTTCCAATTTGTGGAAGCTTTTCTTAAGGATTGAAAAAGTTCCGAAAATAACTGTTTGAAACTGTTCTATACCAGTTCCGATTGAAATAATTATGAAGAACCGAAATAAGTCATAATCGTTATTTGGTATATCGGTTATGAGCTATATCCGTTTCGGTTCTGGTTCTTTAAAAACTTCTAGTTTCTAGTTCTTCCTTTAAAACGGTTCTATAACTGTTATTTTTCGGTTCTCGAAACAGTTATGAAGTATTTAAAAGCAAATTAATGACATTCGGATATTTGAAATTGGGAACAACTGGAATAGTTGTCGCTCAATTCTCAGTATTTTCTTCCGGAAAAGAAATTACACTAATGTAATGCCATGAAAACCGATTTTTAAGTATCTTATCCTTTGATCCAAACCCAGAAGATTCCTCGGCATTGAAATTCTAATATTTCTCGGATTAAATGTATTTGTATAATGGATTTTTTAGAATTCCTGACATAAGTAACTCGAACGAAATAAAACAACTGGCAAGTTGCACCTATAAAAACAATGAGAAATATAATTCTACTTGCAAAAATAATACCGGTTTCCGGATTAAAATGGATCAAGAATTTTTTGAAACACTTCATGTGTTGACATCTGTTTGTCCTATTTTTATTGATTACTTTATCACGCAATAAAATAAATTCAGTTTTGCAGATATTATATTAAGACTCTTAATAATAAATAAGCTTAAGATCAGATAATATCTAATAGGATTTAGAACTTAAAGTAGATTTAGTGGTGTCCCTCGGTGAGGTACGAAAGCATTCATGCAGTGAGAAATTTATGAAGGAGATGGTTGCAAACGGTAAATGGAACGTTTTATTTCAATGAACTTTGTACAACATTAAATATACTATCTGTAGTAAAACATATAAAAATAAGGTCCACATCTCGTAATTATCTATTTAATTTGATTAGAAATTCATAACTGTCTAATACCACGAATGATTCATTTGCGATATCCTAAAAGTATATTTATCATATTAATATGATATTGTAATTAACATTGTATTAATATAACATTATATTAATTACGATATTCTGCGTAAAGTATTTAAATTCGCAAATACTTTATGACATACAAACTACATCCTTACACCTCTATTCACATAGAATGTACAATACTATAGACTTTCGATATTATACAAAGTTGGTCAAAGCAAAATTAAAATTGAAACTATTTTCATCAGGCTTTTCTTACTGCGCTAACACTACCGTTTACTACTGTAAACGAGACACATAACCTCTATTTGTAGACCTTTATATTTAATGTATGATTTAATAGCTAATTGTGATTTACATAATTATGCGAAGGTATACTGAGATGTACAGAATTCCGGTCATCAGAAATTCATAAACTAAGAAGTGAAATCCTTACATAATATTATTCTTGGGAAAAGGATCTTCAATTCATAGGATTTTAATTAAAAACTGTAACGTTTTAGGAAATACTAAACATTTCTGTTGAAAGCAGCATGATTGAATTTATTATATTTACTAATAGTTAATTAATACATTTTATCTTGCATGAATTAGTGACTATATTATTCATTTTAATATATTACTGAACTTCACGGTATTTTCTATAATCATACTATAATTTTCATTTGATTGCGTATATGATAAATAAGTCGTTTATTTTGAAAGTGATGTAAGTCCGTTAAAACATAAATTGTTAAAACATACAAAGATAATATACAATTGGAATTGTTATAATCATTAACATGATTTTGTTGGAAAATGGACTTAAGCCACTTTTATAATAAACGATTCAGATAATTCGCCCTAAGGGAGTGAGCGCTTGAATACGTAATCATCATCTACATCTTCAATGACCTATGTGTTCAATTAATTGTAATCAGTTAATCATTTGTTATGCCGTTAGCCAGGATTATTTCAATATTTTCTCGGAAGAAGCGTAAAGTTAAACATAATTAGTTTTTCTTTTATTGCATTTACATTTATCGTAATTTGATTGTTCGTTTACTATAAATCTTCTATCTAACGTTGTAACCTCTTACTATTTTTACCGCGGACTAGGTAATAATTAGTTTTTTAAGCAATTAAGATACTCCAGGCGCTAGGGAAGAATTTAAATCATATAAACCATTTAGAGATTTCGCTAATGGCCATTTAAATAAATTATACAACACTCTAAACGTTACCGTCGTGGAATTATACGTTCCTAAATGCTTAGTACTTTGCATAAAACACGTACGGATGCTCGTTGAATTCTGTGAATGCGCACCGTATACCGATATTATTCTTTATTAATTATTAGATGTACATGTGATTAGAGATATGCGAGTATTTTAATAAGAACTTTTAATGCGAAATACTATCTTAAGTATTCCAATCATCCTATGACAAGTTGCATCAAATAAAATTATATAAAACGTATCTTACGATATATTACACCGTTTATGAGCTTCTTGCATTCTATTTTCAGGAATATAATAAATGTTTGTCATTGATCATACTGAATAGTGAAATTTAATAATGAATTTGAGGAGGATTTTGAATTCACCATGCAACATTAAATCGATTCTATTCATTTCATTTTACTCCATGTATTATTATTGCTTTATCTGTAACTTTCCTCTTATTTTTTTAACATATTAAATTTTCTCATAATACAACAGAATTAAGAAGAAAACTGTTTGTACTACTACGTATTTCCTATTTTATTATTAAATACTTATTTGGATATATAATTGTCTTAATAATATGTTTTATTATTTCAATAAAATCTCCTTAGTACATTAAATTACATTGGAAAATGAAATTCCTTTCTCTTATGGATGAATTTACATTGATAAAGTTTGGAAACAGTTACATAAATTTTTAGGCAATCAAATTTCATATTCTCTTACCATTACCAAAGGCTTATGTTTCACAGAAGTTTCCCCCTTCTAATATAATACAAACAACTTGAATTTGTGCATACAAAGTAGATTCCTGAAAATTTATGGATAGACGCACCGCGTTTTAGAATGAAAATATGAAACTTCGAAAATATGCATAAAATTTAAATGCGATTTCTGATCTGTATTTATTCGATGATGGACGATCAATAATACCAATGGAATTTGCTACAAGAGGTTTTCGAGGCTTTGCCTTTTCTTGAGGAAAATACCACAGTCATCTCAGAAATTCCTTTGCAACAGACTGAAACATGTTCTGTGGTATGCTTCGAACTCAGAGTTTTATAACGGCTAAAGAAATTTTTTTCTTTATAACCAAAGTGTGTTGCAGTAGTTCTCACAGTTATTGAAGATGAATCATTGTTTGAATGTTTGACAACAAAAGCATTATTTCATTCATAAACTTGTATATTATAAAATATCATTTTTAAAAATAAATTTATGGAACCCGTCAACTTGATTACTACTGAATTTTATACGCATCATTTGATAACAGTTTAAGTCAATTTTGATTGATACAATTATGCGAATACATATCGCAATCCTTTGTTTTTGGAGCTCTAGTTTCCGAGATCTACATGAACGAATATTTGGTTATCTAGAAATAGAATACAGTGGCAATAAAATTATTTATATCTAGTTAAAAATTGTGTACGTTATGAACTTTAAGCAATTATTCGATTTTCACAGCATGTAATGTACACCATACACTCGAACTCCGAAAAATCATTTGAAGCTGGCGTGGAATTAAGAAAAAGTGATTTCTACAAGTAAATTTCAAGTATATGAACTGAAAAGAATATTAAGTATTTTTTAAAAACAGTATTTATAAACCGTGTAACAAAATTTGGATACTGAAGTTGATTCGGATTCACAAGTAAGTATCAAACTTAATTTCAGTATTCGTACCAGTTATATGAAATTCAATGTTCAATTGTTTTCCAACAGAAACATTCTCTAAAAAAGTTCAAATAATTGAAACCAATCACTTAACACTTTAACTGCCATACCTAATTCAGGTGACAGCATTTTTTACAGGAACTTAAAAATTAATTTTCTTGGTGACATGTCGAACGAACTGAATTTTGTTAGATGCATTAACTATAGAAAGAACAGTAGAGCAATCGTTATAAAGACGTTTCACTTTTTAGTTTCTGTTTTATTAAGAAAATTGTTTTAATTGCGTGGGGGTTTTGCTGAGTGTTTACTTGTTAGCGAATGAATTAACCTGTTAACTGTGAAAGGTTTGAAAAATCTCCCGTTTTGCACACAATAAAATCAAAAAATTTAGTGTGTACTCGTCGAACGCAGGACGAATGCACTTAGTATTTTTTCAGATAAACATATAATAGTTTATATAAAAAAAATTAAGAATTCATCGCTAGAAGAATTAAAGTGTCACTTTAAGTTTTAAAATGACGTGTAAACTTGTCAAACACAGTTAACTGGTTAAAAGATTTAATGCGCACGTGAAGGCTGCAAGGCGTCCCATCCGAGCGTTGAATCTTTCATAAAGTTATCTGGTGTCGATCGCTCAAATTTGAAAAATGAAGATTAATATTCATTTTCACTGAAACGCGACGTACGGCGATTTATAAATCGCTTACCTGAGCCTCCAACAGGTGCAACGCACTCGAGAAAGGGGGATGTAATCGGCGTGGAAAATCAACGAGCTTGATATCCAACGTCGTCTCAGGTTCCACATACAGTAATTAAAATTCAGCGATCGGTGTTCAATCTGGCCCAAGTACGTTCATCTTCGTGAAATACGTAACGCGCATACAGCCAACGATATTTCCGGCCTTATCGTCTGCTAATCGCGTTATGACTGATTGTCGGTAAACGGAGAACTTCCAGTTAATGTATCATTATGCGGAATTGTATGGAGGTGCTGCTGGGAACTGTCAGATACTACGTTTTCTGTAATTCTTTGTGTAATCGAAACCGTGACAGTAATGACGGTTATATGAAGCTGGATCATGTATTTCTGTCTGTTCTTTGAGTATGGACGTATACGGTGCAACGAGATAGCAATGAGACAAAAAGTAACAGTAAAACGTATTGTTTTTCTTGAAATAATCTCAGTAGTTTCTCTGCTCGTTCTTCAATATTTAAAAATTTAATCACGTTTCTCTCAAGCTTTTGTTTTCAAAAACGGTGTTGCATAATTATTTTCGATCAATCCTCGCATTACACTATTATCAATTTATTTACGTTCTTAAACGTTTTCATTCAACATCGGTTATCTTGAATGTTACGATTGTTTTCAAGTAATTCAGAAGCCTCGATCATCGGTGACTGACATTTCGCTTAACATGTCAAAGAAAATATTTTAGATACTTCCTTGATTTAAGTAAAGAGATATTTCCAATGTCACAAAGGCTATTTTTAAGAATCGGTTTTATATAAACAGCTACATTTTTATTGTTTGCTGGAATTCAAATGGCTGCCAGTTAAAGAGTAATTAATAATAGTTAATTTCATTGTCAGAGAAGAAAGGAATGACTAAATAATCTTTTACTAATGCAGCGGGAAGCAATTGTAGATTCTTTAAGAAGTCGATTCGAATCAGGTTCCTATTCTTTAACACGTATACATCAACGTGATCAACTGGTGGGTCATAAGCTAGACCCTGTGCATGTACGCTATTGCATTTACCTGCAATCTGATGAACGATTGCCTACAAATAGGCGCTGGAGTAAATGTGTTGACGAAGTTATTGACAAACAAATCATTTCTTAATCCTTAATAATCTACTATGCTTTTGTATTATAATTAACCTGTAGAATATTGTTAAAACAAGACGAAAGAATTTTCTTTCTGAAATTTTAAACTTTCTGAAACACATCAAACGGCGTGTACCATCAATTATCTAGTTCGTTAACCAGTTAACTACGTTTGACGAGCATACACAGCATCTTCTAAACGATGCTAACTTTTTCAACGATGGACTATTTCTGTAGACAAACATGTAATTCTTCTTTGTTTCGCTTTAATTTTTCATTAGAATATATTATAAGTGCATTTGGCCTGCATTTGACGAGTATACACTTAATCATTTGATTTCATGGCGCGCACAATAGAGATTTTTTGAACTAAATTCCACGCTTGACGGGTTAAACTGGTTTGGTAAATAGAAAAAGTTGACATACTTTTATATTACTTTTAATACGAATTCAGCACCGCGGTTATTATTTGTTTCAATAATGAATATTGTTAGATAAAAATATGGCGAACACATGTTCTAATTGCAAGTAACAAAGTTTATGCCCAACGTTCTTGGAAAATTTAACTGGGACATATCTATTCGAGCAACACAATTTATGGAACAGACTTGTCACAGCAGTGAAACAGACACATATGATTTATGCGTGGCACGGCATGAAACAGTCAATACATCAAGTTACGTAACACTGAAGACAAACTATTTTTCTCCATTTTCCAATCTATTTCACCTATCTTTGAGACCAGAACGACCTATATTCTATATTAAGAGAATATAAGTATTTACATTAAAATGTTCAATTTTATAAAATTATTTCTGCTCACAAATACGTTTTTACTGGATTCTCGAAAATTTGAAACTCTTGCTAGACACAGAAAAAGAAAAGCCTCAGTTTCAACAGCTAACTACTGCATGCATCGTATTCCCAAAATTAGGCCGTACGTTGCCATGGTTGAATATTATTTGTGAGATACTATGGACAAAATATCTTGTGACAATATATCTCGTACAAAAACATACCATCTCACGGAACGTATGAACTTTGTAGAAAAATCGAGTTACGTATTGAAATGAATTATTTTTGTAAGAATTGTAACGTTACAACGAAATTATAAAATAATTTCAGTTTTCAATTTCGGTTTCTTAATTTTATTTTGGTTCCAAGTTATTCAGTAAATAAACTACAATAGTTCAATATACAGTGTTCTTACATTTTTTTACATTATGGTGCCAACAATACTCAATTGATAAAAAGAATAGAAAAGTGTTATATAAAAATAGGCTCAAACGGTTTCGTTAAAAAATTATAACAGAAATACAAAATAGTATCAATTTTTGTTCGATATAGCATAAGAATAAATTAACAGTATTTACCTGATTTGTCTGAACTTGAGGCCATTCTAGGGGGGGATATTGTGACTTGCATTATCATAATCACATAGTTATACAATTTCATATTAACATGCTACAAATTTTTTCGAATCAAGAGTACAAAGAATATCACAAAATTACATAGTAGATAAGAATAATTTTTGTAATGGACGGACGTCACTTTGAAATGGCACTGATGCACGTAAATTTCACCAATTATTAATATTAATAATCAATAATAATTAATATTATTACTAACATTACGATATTACTATTATCCCGAACCACTCAATGTAAATAGATATTTTCAATCTGTCATTTTAGCGGAGAATTTTCAATCGAATTTTGATACCACCTTTCCACCTTATTTTCTAGATCTGCACTTTAGATCTGCATACTCTGCAGTATCGAAGGGGTTAAACCAACGGCTCTTATCGCGAATATTTCCTCTAATCCGCTCGCAGGTTAAAAACCGATGTTAATTACTCGTTGGTTAATTGCTCGGCTATAACTCGGGGCTAGTTGTCGGTCGACCGATTAATTAAGAAGGTACGTCTCGCTTTGCGGCGGTATAAAGCCCGCCTGTCCCGTATTTCTTTCGTCTCGTAGAGAAATACCGTCGGCGGGAAAGGCGTAAGCTCGTCCTCAGGATCGACAGGTGGGACTGTCACCGTGAGAAATCGACGGGCAACGAGGAGGAAGAAGAGTGAAAGCCGATCACAGAAAACACTGCGCCTGGATAGAGTCACCTGTGCGGCTGTTAGCCGGGAGAACGAACGATCCGCGAGATGTCGTGGACGCTTTAAGTGCTTCCTTCGCCGGAACGTCTGATCGTTTCACGACCAACAGCGTGCAGTATAAGATTATGAGTATATGACAACCGCTACGTTCCCCTCCCACCTCCGGGGACGCAATAAAATTTTATTTACGGTACGGTAGAACGTCGATTATCCGAACGCCCCTTAACGGAAACGCCAATTACCTGAATTTCGATTATCCGAAGGATCGATTATCGGGACGAGAAATGAACCGTTCGTCTGTACCACCGCACATGTTGCGTACTATGTAATTGACGTTTGTATTTTGAAACTGGCGTCCTTCGTATGCGGGTTTAGTGTCTCATCTTTGTTCGATCTGTGCACACTATATAATTCTGTGCTTACACGGTTTTCATTTAACACGAATTACTTTTATTTTCTTAGATGATTTCTCCGATTTAACGAGAAATAGCAAGAAATTCATTTTCTTTTTAGATAGCTTCGTTTGGTTTAGCAGAATCATCCAAATTCTAATATGAATGCAAATATGTGCTTTATTGTATTATTTTGTTGATTTCTTAGGTTTAAAACCAATTTGTATTTTTCTAATAATATTTTTAAACTTTTAATTTCAATATCCAAATACTCATTTTAGAAAGAGTACGAACAATGTCTATATCCAAAAATGATTATATAGTTTGTCACGCAAGAAACATTGCTTCTTTAAAATTACTTAATTTCCAACAGTATTTTAGTGCTTATATAATTTTGAACAAATTTGAAACTCTATTTACGGTAGAAAGTGGTTAGTAAGTACGTAGACTCAGGCTATGGATCTTGAGCGGTCATTGCTTGAGGAAGTAGAATTTCAAGAATCACTAATTGTTTTCTTACTATATTTCAATTGACTCTAAGTGGATATGTAAGTAGACTAAGACACATTAAATACACATGTAGAATAAGTAACAAGTAGTCTCACTCCCAGTCAGAACTGGGTTCTACAGTACATAATTTAGATTGTAGACGTTTTATTGCATGTGCCATTACAGCAGGCTGTCTAGTATCTATTTGCATTACTAAGCCATTTAAATAATGTGTCCACATTATTGAATTTCTTTCTATATCTAACTACTCTTTGGTGTAGCCTATTCTGATGCAAATGGATTCAAAATGGCCAACTGATGTTCAAAATTACCATAATTTAGTATTGTAACACTAATTTAATTGTTTCAATAATAATCATTTCTTTCCGCGTTGTTCCCAGTTCTACAATTTACAAACCAAACTACTTTTCCGAAAATAATAATGGAAATTATTATACATCAAAACAATTCATTAGCGTTTGGGGCAAAGATTCAATTATTTGGTGAAATATTTAATGAAACCATGTCTTATAGCGAAAAATAAGTTAGTGGAAAAATTGAAGTACGTTTAGGGGCTGCTTCATTGAAGCTAATTAAAAATAAAATTAGCTAGTTAAATGCTAATTTTAAATTATGAAATATATATTTATAGGAAATTCACGCCATTAGAACACAGATACATATGTTCATTGATCCACGAAAACATTTAAAATATGAAATAAATCATTAACCTAATAATATTATTCTATCTCAGATATGTATTATTCAATTTCAGTGAAATTTATACACATAATCCACATATGTATCATATCCATCAGACATACAAAATTTTCCAAATATCTATCATCCTGGAAATTCTGGGTCCAGACTCATTGTATATCATATTTTAAGTACTTTCGTGGACGAGTGTATATAAAGCATGATAGAATGATTGTAAGGATAAAAGAGAACATTATTCAATTTCGAAGCATGTATTTAAATTATTGTTTTGTAAGAGAGAACAAACCTTCGAGCGTTCCAAATAGTCGTTTAGCTTTCATCACCACGAGACTCAGGAACGGAGAACGAGATAGACACTTAAGGGTGTCATAAATTAGCTCACAGTACTACGTCGTAGCCTAGATGG